ACTTCCATTAAGCCATTGCAATTAACAGTCACGAACTGCGAAGTTAGGCTACTGAAATTAATGTAAAAGATATATTTCTGTATACTGTCATGTTTCTTTCACAGTCTCAAAATGAAAACAGGAAAAACTGCCCCAGCCTGAAATGAAAGGCTGTCCCCCATGCAATGGCTGGGATTATCCTGCATTGGTTACATAATGGTTCTGAGAGAGGAAGTTCTGTAGGTATTATAAGTGTAATCACATTTTCCTGTTTGTTCATTCTTATCAGACTTTTTTCCTTTCTCCCGCTCCTGTAAAAGCACCTACACAAACATCCAAGAGACACCTAAACAGCTGCAAAAATACAAAGATGTTTCCCGATGTGTAAATTTTTGACTATCAACAGTCAGAGATACACTGCATAAACCCACAGTCATTCATTACTGAGAGCTTTTATGAGCCATAATTACTGGAGCAGAGAAAATCGTGACATGCAAAATATATTCGTGTTCAAAATGGGAAAAAAATTGTTTGTCGTTTGTAACGCAGGTTTTGTCTCTTACAGGAAAAGTCAGTATTTAACAAATCAGCTTCCGAAAACAAGGATACTTTTGTGCTTAATTAAAAATTAACTGGTGGGTAAGTTTATAAATTGAATTCTTAAATACCTCAGGAGAGAAATGCCTCTATGTGAAGGCATAAATATAAATACAGGCAAATAGAAATGAGATCTTTCCCATTTAAAAATATGCAGCACTATGGAGTTAAAGAACTGTGATATAAGACTCACAGAGCATTCAAACAGCACTTCTTCTCATACTACTCGAGTTAAGGTGATATTTTGCCATAGTCTTTCAGGGACATAAAATTTAGCCCTCAGGAAAGAGAATAATGCTACTTCTGCTTAAGTAACTTGTATCTAAAAGAAGAGAGCCAATTTATCAGACAGAATCTTGATGAGAAAACAAGGTATATATGAAAAATCACATCTGGAAAATCACTAGCAAATCTTCGAAGCAAATAAAATGCATTCTTTAGTTTTTGTTGTTTTCTAGTTTGTTACTAACTCTGGCAACAAAATCTCCATTGAAAAAATAGACTATTTTCATAGCTGGTCTATTTTATGGGACCCACATTCATTTAAACTTGCAGTTGAAGCTTAATTTTCAGATAGAACATGGATGGGGACAATTACAACTTCTATGCTTTTACCTCAAAAGAAAACTTCTTATTGATTACTATGTATTAAGATGGCAAGCCACTACTTGTCTGACTGCAACTTAACTCTTTATCAGCATTTTACCTAAGGCACACTCCAAGTTTACAGACAGCAACTATCTAACAGTAACCTACCACATTAATGCCAGATACACGTGCAGTTACTGATCAGTCTCATCAGATATCAATAAATTGAAACTCTTCCAATAAACAAATAAAAACACATAAATTGTTATTGTCAATAAAAAAACACATAAATTACAACACTTTGTACTGACACAAGGCTGTGCAGGGGTGCAATTTGGCTGAGCTCCATCTGAATTGAACAGTCTGAGCTGTCAACCCTTTTGCTTTTGTCAAAATGTTTTGATAAATGCAAGCAGTCACTGAAAGGTAATAATTGCAACCAGAACACATAAACAAAAGAACCAGCAAAGTGTTCATTATATATGCTTATTTTTAGTATGTTTGATGCAGGAGGTGCATGTGAAGTGCATCAATTTCAACTTGGCAGGTACAGTGAATCTGAAATCATAGAATCATTGAATCGCAGAATGCTTTCTGTTGGAATGGAACTTAAGAGCCCACCCAGTTCCAACCCTCTGCCATGGACAGAGTTGCCACCCCTCAGATGAGGCTGCCTGGTGCCCCATCCAACCTGGGCTTGAACACCTCCAGGGATGGGGCACCCATCTCCACTGGGCAGCTGTGCCAGGGCCTCACCAGTCCCTGAGTAAAGAATTTCCTCCTAACATCTAACCAAAATCTGCCCTCTGTTAGTTTAAAGCCATTCCCCCTTGTCCTATCACTATCTGCCCATGTAAAAAAGTTTGCTTACTTCCTGTTTACACGCTCCCTCCAAGTACTGGAAGGCTGCAGTAAGGTCTCCCCAAAGCCTTCTCTCCAGGCTGAAAAAGGTCAAATCCTTCCACCTTTCTTCCTAAGAGAGGTGCTCCAGCCCTCTGATCATCTTCTAGATGACCCTCTTCTAGACCCGCTCCAACAACTCTACATCTTTCTTGCACTGGGGGCCCCAGGCCTGGATGCAGTACTCCAGATGGGGCCTCAGAAGGGCAGAGAGGAGGCGTACAAAGCCCAACATTTTACCACAAAATAAGTGGTCTAAGACTAGAAATCTTATAAACAGAAAAATACAGTACAGGCATTTTGAGACTTCATTGCTAATGTGGGAATAGGTAGGATAAAGACATATACTGGTATCAGTGCATTACACACAAAACAAATGGATTTAAAGAAATCAACAATTAAACAACTGCTCCCTGATTAAATTATAGAATTCTGCATAACATTTAAAATGTATGACACAGAAATTTTACATTTTCCAAAGTTAATTCTCAATAAAATTGCAACACATTCTGAGAAAATTCTGTCAATTAAAAACAGTATAAAAATATTTCCATCTATGTTCATGAGCAGGTTGATGGGAAGAAATACTGCTACACTCAGATCAGCAAGGAACAAGATTTGCCCGGAAGACTTCGAGCCTCACTGTTCTAACATAAGGTTTAAGATTCAGAATCATGTTATGCTGATGCTGAGTATCAAATTGTGATATCAATTTCTTCTTGAAAACAAGAAGATTTGCTGCGTGCAAAAGACTCATTAAAAAAGGGACTGAAATACCACACTATTTACAACATCAAAAACATGAAATATGCAAAGTTAGGGAAAAAAAAAAGCAAAATTATTTCTCAGATGCAGCCTGAAGTAGAGTGAGACAAGCAAAAAACTGTGTTTCTATATAATGGTGCTGTTCTAAAATTGAGGAGAGAAAGTGAAAAATTACAGACAAGCATACAAAACCTTTTAACGTTGTTTTGGAATATAGGAAAAAAAAAAAAAAGAAAAAAAGAAAAAGAAAAAGAAACCTATAAAGAAAGATTGCCGATTCTTAAGATAGGACAATTTAAACTTTTCAGGGGATTATGATTCTTAGTTGTGCTTGATTCATCTGAACTGCAGCTTAAACACTATATATGCAAACTATATGAGAACAAAGTGAGAAGGGACAAAAGACGGAAGAATTTGCAGTTTGAGGTAACAAAAGTGGTGTAACAAAGTAACAAAAATGGTGTTCCAAATGGATAGTAATCTGGAAGTCATGAATACGAAAACAAAGGGAAATAATTTTAGAATAGGTTTACTGTTAAAATCTACCCATTTGATATTTCATTTGATACAAATGAAACATTCATGCATAACAATACAGAAGTTTCTAATTTGAACCATGGGAGAGTTGATGGACTCAAACATATAGATAGTGATAATTACCTTTTAGTTTAGTTTTAGGATAACAGCTTTGGAAGGTGGAAATAATCTCTGGTAGAAGAAAGAAGTAGGTTTTGCTCTAAACTGAGCAGTAAAAGAGAAAGTTATGCAGAGCTTACATCAGTGATTCAAGTAACATCTACTCCATAAACAGCAGCTCACTGACATACTGGATCATTCAATTTACGCTGCCTTTCAACCCAATAAGCACTAATGCTTAACAGTTTTCAATTTCTTTTTTTTTAAAGCTAGTTAATTCTTTGTCAGGTGTCTGTGTGAAATAACAACTTTAGTGATGAAGGAAGTGTAACCTCATAGAAATTATTTACCCAAGGCCATGCAACGAATAGGGAATGAAAACTCCTGAGTTCTTAATCATATATTCACCTAACTGGAACACGCCACCACTGTCACCATGTTTATGATGCACACTATAAGTCCCAGTCGTGAATGCTTTTCAAAGGAGGTTTAGTAGTACTGTCAGGGGATATCACCAATAACGAATGGCAGCATTTATCATATGCAACAATGTGTAAGAGTCAGTTTTGGCTTTCCTTCTGACTACTCTTTAGATCAGAACAGAAAAACTCTATTATTGAAATTCTAATATTTCAGTAGTAGACTGAGACTCAGAGACACCACACCCAGCAGCAGGCAAAGAACAAAACTGCTTGTATTCTCAGATTTGCCATCCTGCAAACCTGCTCTGGGCCATATGCAAACACACTCCTCAGAAAACCTAGCCCAGCATCATCCACAGCGGGACATTTATACCTCAGCTTTTATACCTAGACATTTATACCTAAGTTTATACCACTACAACATTTATACCTAAGCTTTTGTGAAAGCAGAACTGTAAATGTACAAGTAATAAGGAAAGTGTTGTTACACTTGTCCTTCACCCAAACATTTTCCTTTAAATAAAGCCTCATCAAAGCCTGGAATTCAACTTGAAAGCCTTTAAAAAAGAGGAAACGCAAGGGGTGTGTGTTATGTGGGACAGATGACTTAGTTGGCAAAGTGGAAAGAAGCAGTGTGTCAGGGGCAGGGATGCAACAACTTGGACAACCTCACAAGAAATTCCTTTTCTGTGGAATCTTTGCCACATTTAGAACTGCTCTCCCCAGATTAAATCTCTTGAAGGAGTGCTGCAGTTACATTACTTCTGTGCTGCAGGAAATTCCTAGCACAAATATCCTGGTCTCCATCCTCATATGCACATGCTGTCATCCTTTAAGGCACTTAGAAAAGCCTGAATACTCAAGGCAATCTTATAAATATTTACACTGCAGCTCTATGTTTAGGAATATCACTTTTACAAGACTGTGCTAAAATCATTTAATTTAAAAACCTGTAAGTGAAAGCAAACAGCAGTAAACAGAAGTCCACGGAGCCTGGGTGCGGGCTGCAAGACAACTTGGAGTTACATATATGATCGAAATACGGCAGTGCAGAAATCAAGACTGTAAGAGATGGCTGCTGAGACTGTAATTTCTTTAACAGAATAGCAGGGTATGAATGTGCGATTCTGTGAGCTGAGGGACACAGCCTGCGTCTGCTCTGATGCCGGGCAGCAGCCCAGCAGTCCCACGAGTACTCGCAGCGTTGCAGGTTCTGGAAGCAGATTCTGCCTTCGGAAGGCAAGATACGAAGGTTCATTTCGGTAGATAAAAGGAGGTTGGCTGCAGGGCGGTGGAAGCGGGAGTAGGAGTTTGTTTTAGTGGCCTCGGGAGAAATTCACTTAATTCTTTTGGTAACACAAGGCTTTGAAAACCTGAATGTTTAGATGCCTTCTGAGAACTGTTGAGAGGCAAGTGTCAACGTGCTGCTATTTGCCAGCTCTTTTATTACTGAGAGAGAAAAAAGAAGAAGAAAAAAAAAACGATAACAAGAAACAAGAAGTATCTCCACGGTATATTGCCCGCCTGTAACATAGCGCCCATAGAGCACGAGGTTCTTTCCTACCCGCTCAGCTTGACGCTCACGTAGCAGAGCCACGCGCAGTTCTGCGAGAGCCTCGCTAACGGTGGAACGCCGCACGGGCTCGGCACGCTCCGAGAGCACCGTCCCCGCAAGCCCCCTGCGTGCCCCCGTGCCACCTGCCGCTTTTCCTCGCTTTTATCTCCTACAGCTTTTTCTACTTCTTTCCTTCAAAAGGAAGGTCGGCCACCGGTCGCTCGAACCGCCGCCCCGTCCCACCGCATCAGTGCGGGGCGGGCCGCAGGGCCGCTCCTAAACCGCATTTTCCTCTCCCACGCGGCGCCGACGCTCCCCCTTCTTTACGCACCCTACTCCGCGCACGCGCCCGTACGGATGAGGCGGGGCAGAGGCGCGCATGCGCCACCCGTCCCCCCGTTCTCCCTCCCTCCGCCGCCCTTCTTACTCCCCTCCCCCCCCCACTCGCGGGCACACGGGGGCGGGGAGAGCGCGCGGGGCGGCGGAGCCGCTCCCCTGGCGGCCGGCGGGGCCGAGGCAGCCGCGCCGGGGCCCTGCGGAGCCGCCGTGAGCGCGCAGCCCCCGCCCAGCCGGGTATTGTTCGCGGCCCGTCTCTGCCAGGAGAGTTTTGTCCTCGTCCCGGCTCCGTTCCCCGCTGGGGCGGGGCGGGCCGGGGCCCCTTTGTCGCCACCTTCCCGGCGTGCGGCGGCGGGCGGGCGAGCGGCGGAGGGGAGAGGGGGGGGA